AGCAAGTCCCTAATTCCTACCTTAGACACTTTTTCTGTCCAGAATACCTGCAAATTAATGTGTTTTTTCGTTTTATGTACCAACATATCTATGTTCCCTAGAACATGTTTGAACCTTAGTGGTTGAGAATATATGAATCTGTGTGGGTGCTGTTCTGAGTATTAAGATGGCTCTCTTCTAATAGAACGGATTGAATAAATATGTCACCCAACGTTTACCTCCCCCCCCAAAAAAACTGATTTTCTCCCAAAACTATTACAAAACGAAAAATAATAATCCAAACGCTGAAAAAAACTGACTTCCTGCAAGTCAGTTTTCATATAAAAGATTAATTTTTGGATTTAGATAAATCTGGATTTTTCTCTGGTTTATAAAAAATATAATTATTCTCAGACTCGAAGCTTTCAGTTGTAAGGAGATCACCGGCAATGATGTTCGTATCATGTGATGTGGTAAGCATATCCAAGCGTTCTCTAGACAAGGGTACATTAACGAAAACTCCTGCATAAGACTAGTTTACTCCTGAATCTCAATATGTCAGTGAGTAATAACTTCCAACAATTCAAATTTGAGTTAAGTAATAAGATTCTGAAATATGTCTTTAATTTCTGTGTCGAAGTAAGCAACTTACACAATCATTTTATTCAAAATATCGTATAATTAAGTCAATCAGATCAAATAATTAAAACTAATGAATGGATATAGAGGAAAATAAAGTAGTTTTCGTTTATAATAAAGTTTTAACTTTATTATTTAAAGGAAAAGTGTCCTTTATTGCTTCGTGTTACTCAAATTGTAAAACCGAACTTACATGCCACGAATTTACGACATTCGATCCTAGTTCCAACAGCTCTCAGATCTGATGATAAAGAGACGGAGAGAGATGACAAATTTGTGTTAAGGCTGATGTAAAATGTCGCGATTAAACAGATGTAACACTGACTACCTCATTCTTCACGAGAGTAGTGTTAAGAATACATGCGTTTCTTGTCTGTCACGACACAAGAATCAATGCTATGAACAGACAAAAAGACTGAAGAAATGGATAGGCAACTCTAGAAATCCCACAATAATGGATGCGACTAATTGGAGGAGCCGGGGAGATGCCGGCAGCGGAAGGAGCGGGGAGAGAGGCAGAGGAGCAGGCTCGTAGGGAGTGGTGGCCCATGTTGTCCAAGGCGTGGTATATCTAGAGGAGGTGTCACCCACTTGTACTTCAATCGATTACAGAAAAGTAATCACATCCCATTTTACGAATATTCTAATTAAATTATAAATAAATTTACAATATACTTGTAAAGTTTAAAATCTTAAGTGACATTTTTTATTCGAGACTGTGTGGAAAGTACATTGTTGAACTGTTTTACAGCAAGAAACTTATTCATTACAGGACTATTTTGTTTAAAGCGTCGTGCAATGTATGTTTCTTGACTCCTCCGTCACCATCTTTTCACCACGTAACTGCTACCCACGAAGAACCGAGGAGCCTTATATTATATTAAAATTTCGTGATTTAGTATTAATTAAATTGTTATACTTTTACTTATTTTGTATGTAAATTGCGTTTACATTTTCTTATTTTTATGTGCAAACAGCGTCTGTATAGAGAAGTTCCCGAATTGGATACTCTGGAATTCTACCATTGTATAATACACCCGACTACCAGCCCTTGCCCTCTACGGGATTGTAAAGAGCTACAATAATAATAATAATAATAATAATAATAATAATAATAATAATAATAATAATAATTACAACAACGTATTATAGATCTAGTTTCTCAACACTTACAGTGCTTTACTTGTGACACAGACCACGTCTTCATCTACATATACATCTACAACAAAAAACTATCAGCAAGCCACATAGCAAAGGTTCCATGTGAAAACATGTTGAGATAGCTGTCAATGTATTCAAAACATGCACTTGTCAATTGATATTTTATTTGCAACTATTTACATTTATTGTAATTGAACGATTTATTAAAGAGCTCTTTGACGATACTTTTCACTCATTTCGGAAAAGCATCTCAGGTCTGAAATAAGATATTGTGCATCACACGACAAAAGTCCCTTTTCATGACTGGACAGGATTCCTCAATTCGGTGTGTCGACCTCAGCAAGTGAACTCTCCAGTCTCGTCATGAAAAGGTCGACTTTCTTGCCTTTTGCTGAACATTTTTTTATTGTAACACATTGACAAGGTTTTGTCTGACTATATTAATGGTTTTAGTGATTTACGGGATTTAGTGTTATCTACAACATATCAATGGCTAACGAGATTCAACGGTAATGAAATGTATTATAAAACAATATTTTAAACAATGATATGTTGCCCTTGCCGTAATAATTTCTAATAATTAGACAAACTGTATTGCACTATCATTAAAATTGACTCAATCATTTTTAAATTAAACATTAAAATGGCACGTGCTCGCGACACTCATGGCCGTGTTCCCTTATTGGTTACAATGGCTGGCCGCTAGAAGTGTGCAGTAGGTTAGTTTAAACTGCTCTGGTGTAAGACAGGTAAGTACGTGCCATGCAACTCAATATTCCATGTAACAACTAATGCGTCTTAATATTAAATGCATTAATCTTGCAATTGGGCAACCTTCATTCATTTTAAACACAAATTATTCAGAGAGCTGCTGGAATTAACCTGGAACTGACGACGAAGATCTGAACAAGCTAGACAAAGTTCTGCTGCATCACATAAGGAGTCATTTAATTCGAGAGATTACGCTGTTGATTCATGTCTGCTGATACACTGTTAGTGGGAGGTGGTTCCCTAGAGGTTGAACGCTTCAAGCTTGGAATTCCAAGTTCTCAGGGAAAGAGTTTGGAAGAGAAAACTGAGAGGATAGGGTCTTCAAATGCTTAGCAATGGCTTTGGCAACAGTTGTGCAGTACAAGTCAAAGACGAGGTTGTGTTGTGTAAAATAATGTTGAGGTAAATGAACAACACTTGTAAAGCTTTCCTACATCCTGTAATACACACTCAAGAAGATGCTTAATACTAGTGATTATTGGTGATTCATACCTGTTTTATGAGTGCACTACACCTGACTTTGCGAAAGAAAGTAGTGCAGATGTCATTAGGGTAAAGACGTCTAATACTAAATCCAGAACCAAGTACAAGGGTCTTAAATCGTAAGAGAAGAATTCGCCTCGGAAGGATTACCGATGATAATGACGAAGTTATCGAGAGAAATGTCACTACGCAACAATTGATACAGTCAATGATTCATAAGCTACTGCTTATCGTTAGACGTCTCCTGAGTTACACATGGCACAGACCTAGAACGGGATGTACTGATTGACAACACTTCTGCGTGTCTCAAGCCGTGTCAAGCGTGACATTAAATCTAAAAAGGGTGCTAGAAATACTGAATGGGTCATGCGTAACATTGTAAGTCCTGTTATTCAAATTCCGGCCAGGCGAAAATAGGCAATAGTTAGTCCTACAGTACACACTGTGTCACACTAGCATTGGATCAGAACGAAGTGCAAAGAGCTCTCGAGAGTCTATTGATCTCTCCATAAATACGGAGCTCCATGTTTCCAGCAAAGAAGGAGAGGGGCGACAATTACTCGTATGTCGCATTACACTCTGTGTTACACTTGGCATTCAATTTAAAGATATGCAAAATATGCTGTATGGATAACGCCTATCATTATAAAAACGAATATCTTCGTTCCCTCGACGATGAGACGACAATTGCTCGTACCTCGTGTTACACCATGCCATACATCTAGCATTGTATCTAAAAGAAGTGCAAAGAGTACTGAATCCACGATCAGTACCAGATCTTTATAAATAAGGAGCTCTAAGTTTCCAGCAAGGAAGGAGATGGACGACAATCACTTGTTCGTCGCGTTACACTCTGTGCTACATTTGGTATTCAATCTGTCACATATGCAAATATGCTGAATGGACGACACCTATCACCTACCTCTAAAAACAAATCCCAGCGTCCCTGGAAGGTGCGAGATGCGCAAGAATTACTCGTAGGTCAATTTGTACCCTGCGATACACCTAGCATCGTATCTAAAAGGCAAGAAGAGAGTGCTAGATGGACGTCGTTAACCACCGTCAGTACAGATCCCCGCGTTAAGAGGAAGGCAAGAGGACGACAACTGCTCGTAAGTCACGATACACAAATGTTACACGTATTGAATCTAAAAGGCGAGCAGAGAGTGCTGGATGGCCCCAATTATCACCGTCAATACCGATCCCCACGTTCCCAGGAAGACGAGAGGACGACAACTGCTGGTAAGTCGCGATTCACCAGTGTTACCTCTATTGAATCGAAAAGACGAACAGAGACTGCTGGATGCACCACTCAAATCTTCTCAGTACGGCTCCCCACGTTGCCAGGAAGACGAGAGGAGGACGACAATCACTTGAACGCCACGATACATATATTGACCCTACAAAAGCGAGCAGAGAGTGCTGAATGGACGACGCCTGTCACCGTCAATACCGATCCCCACGTTCCCAGGAAGATGCGAGAACGACAACTCCTCGAAAGTCGCAATACACCAGTGTTACCCCTATTGAAACGAAAAGACAAACTGAGACTTCTGGATGCACCATGCCAACCACCTCAGTACGGATCCCCCACGTTGCCAGGAAGACGAGAGGAGTACGGCAATTACTTGTACGTCACGATAGTTATAAAGCGAGCAGAGAGTGCTGAATGGACGACGCCTGTCACCGTCCCCACTGCTCCCAGCAAGGCGTGAGAGAGAGATAGAGGAGGCCGAGGTGCGCCTTACCGATGGTGGTGACGACGGTGATGCAGTAGACGACGCGTTGAGAAAGCTCCGGAGCGCTGGCCGCTGTACGAGGTGACGCCGGCCTCGTGCGCCGTGTGAAGCTGGTTCTACGAATATCCATGAGCCGCCTGCGCTGCCTTGCGCTTCCAGTCCTCCCTCGCGCAGAGTGGTGCTGCTCAGCCACCAGTGTCGTCGACGAAGTTGCGCTTAGAACGCGCTTCACGGCCGCACTGTAGAACGCCTCGAAGCGCCCTGCGGTGAAGCGGAAGGACGAGGCCCGCCACGCCGCAGTAGATTGACGAATAGAGCAGCAGCGCCGACGACGCAGCGCGTTGCGCTGCACCACGAGCCGCGCGTTACTGCGCCGTGGTCTCGCTCTTTGAACGCCTTCCACTCGGACCACGCCTCCCGAGCATGGCCGCCACCGCGCCGCAGTTTCGGGCTTCTCCGCCGCCACTCCTTCGCCTCCGCCTCCTCCTCCTTCGCCTCCTCCTCCTCCTCCGCGGGCTTGTCCTCGCGGTCACCACGTCCGTCGGCGTCTCCGGCCTTCGCCACGCTCACCTGGAGGCGACCACCTTGCGCCTCGTCCACTGTCCTTCTTCGCCGGTTCCTTGACGGCCCTTGGGCTTGTCGCTTTTCCGGGCGGCGCCCGACGCGGCACTCCACGCGCCTCCACACCTGAACTCGCGCTTTGCCTGTTGCATGACGATTGTCTCGCGTGCGCGCGCCCGCAGTCGTCGTCGACATGAAGGTCTTGAGGACGAGCGGGGGCGGCCGCGGGGCCGTCCTGAGTCGTCGCTGAGCGGCAGGCGGTCGTCCGCCGGGGACGAACAGGCTGCGCTTGGCGGCCGCCTTGTCCGTTGACGCGCTATTCGAGGCTTGGCTCTGGTTTCCGCCGGGCTGGTTCTGAGGTCCGGGCGGCGGGCGGAAGCGCGGACGGGGGTTCGTCTTTCGTCTCGTTCCTCTTCGGGCGGGATTCCGGGGCGGTCAGGCGTGGGCGCCGGCCGCCGCGCCCGCCCGACGGGTGAGGCCGCTTGCCGCCGCGCGCCCCGCGCCGACGCCGCGACACGCCCCCGGCCGCCAGCACCTGCCCTCCGGCGCCCCGCCCCGCCGCCGCCTCGCCCAAACGCAGCCGCTGCCGCTCCGCTGCCGCCTCGGCGTCCACCGCCGCCGCCTCCGGCCATGGCTGCTTGCGCGCCGCTGCTCGACGCACACTCAGCAGCCGCGCGGCGCCGGCCGCCGCAGCCTCGCTCCGCACGCGGCCGGAGCCCGCTGCCATCGATTCTGCCCGGTCGCACCGTGGTGTTCGCGGCGCGCTAGCCACGCGGCGCGACTCGCCCGCTTGACGGCTTCTCCGCCACGCGACAGTGTGCGGAAATGCGCGGAATTCCAGCCGGAAATTCTCAATTTATCAACAGACATTTTCAATTGTGTAGTATGAATTTAGCGTAAAAGGAGATTGGCAAATACGTAATAAATAATAGCTTCTATAATTCCCGAGAACAGTAGATTGATTGATTCTGATTGCGGGCGCGTCAACTACTATGGTCATTACGCCTGTAAGTGTAGTGCATGCTCTTCCTCGGAAGGTAGCTGTGATCTTCCCCCTCTGGATGGCGAGATCCGGCACAGACCTACGTCATCTGACGGAGTTTTCTCCAACCAGGTATCTCCCACCAGCGGGGACAAGCTATAAGCTCCCGACATGTGTGTTAGTGTAAATGTGGGTGTAAGGGGAGATGATAGAACAAGGAAGAGGAAGGCAAGAACGCGCGCGGTGCGCGGCCCGTTTCTTAAGGTACTTCCCCGGCATTCGCCCTGTATTGATCGGGGAAAGAAATCTACCGACCAGAGCAGCCGGTCGCTACAATTCTCCTCCAGACAGCGAATGAATTCGACCTAGCTGACAAGCTAGTGTCCACCGTGGGGAGAGTACCCCTAGGACCTTCCGGTCAGAGGGACTGCAGTGACATCAGTTGATGCCCTGAGTCAGACGACGGTGAGAATAGTGACCTCGTATCAAAAAATCGTATCAAATGACATTTTGTCATATCAAAATAAGAATAATGAAGTAACATTGTTTTTAATGGCTTCAGTGACATAAAAGTATGTGATTTTTACACAGAAGGTAATTAATTTATTAGATATCAAGGCATTTTTGTCGTAGACCGCGATATAATTTATCTGCGTGGCACATAGCATAAGATGTAATCCCCAGTTTGAACTGGAGAAAATATAGACGAAAGATAAGAACATTATGAACTACTTCATGGTAAAATAAAAACAAATTCTTTGAAGCATAACACGTCAACAAATACTGAATATCAATACAGTAAAGCTGTAAGAAATATTTCACGCTTTATATCTTAAAGTATCACGATGCTTATGTAAACAAACAAGTTTCATATTTTGAAAACAAAGATAATATGTACTAAAAGGGGATAAGTATATCTGAAGGATATATTTACGAACTTAATAATAATTATTATAATAATAATAATAATAACAAGCTTCATATTCGAAAAATATATTTCTTATAATTCTTATTGCAAATGTATAAAAATACAGATTTATACATACAAGTTTTATATTATAAAAATAGTTTAAAATATATTTATAAAATATGCGACTTATAAATAATATTTTACATGCGTTTCTGTTTTTGTATTGCTAGAATTGCATCTTGAAACACTGCGTTGGGTACATCATGCTCAGCGCAATAAAATATTATATATTTTATATGTTATAGAGATGACCGTCTTGTACTCCATTCAAGAGGTTGAAGGGCGAAGCTTAAAGTCAGAGGAAGTGCTCTCGTCACTTTTTCCAAAATAGTTACTCCTCCTCCCTCTAAGTACTTGTGATATCTCGGAATGTTACCGTGATTAATAGTAATTCGTGTTCACTACTCAAACGGAGTTTTAGAGAGTGCCCAGAAGTTTTTAAATTAAAAATCAATATGGTCAAAATCCGAAATAAGAGCCGTCAGATGGGGTGAAAATGTGCCACATTTTAAGGATTTTTAAGTTTGGAAGTCATAATTATCGATATAGTACCTCGAACTTTATTGCATATATTTTCTTGTAACGACATGTTTCAATTTCTCCTCATAAATGCTTTGTACCTTTGGTGAGATGGTGGATATAGATATTTACTTGTTGCACAATCTCACCCCACTCGATGAGGTGAGATTTCGCCATGTAATATTTGTGCCTCTAATTAATAGATAATTTAGTGCGGTATATTGTCGCCTCATCACGTAATAATTTTAATCTATATGGTGTTAAAAGAATGTATGAAAATGCAAATCAAGTACTTGCTATCCATATTTACGAACATTTCAAAATTAAGCTTTCATGTCTTCAGATTAAATGTTATTTTTTCCAATTCTTTTAAGTGAAGAAATCTTTCTCCTCACATGATTTCTTCAATACCAAATTCCGTCTAGTTCCTTGGGTACAACAAATGTTTACCGATGGTTTGCATTCCTGAAATGTTAGTCTCACCTGATGCGTCAAAATTACAGAGCATGTTGCCTGAGGAAATGTCACCACTGTACTCAACAATCTCGTGATCACCAATCACAGCTTGAAGAGATACGGTTGTGTCATCGATATCTTTTACACTGGTACTGTATGACTGGTACTGGTTTCCAGAACATGTCTTAGATGCACCCAAGAATTCTACGTTCTACATCCTCAGCTGTTCTGTATTTACCTGGGGGCACATCTATATCTCTATTCCTGTTTACTTGTACTACCATTGTATCTTTAACCAAGTTTTAAATGTAAGCATAAACTGTAGCTGGAAAATGCAAACTACACGGAAATGTGAATCACAAGGGATGGTACAATATAACTCTGTGAAGTGTTTTCGTTGTAATATTTGCATGATAGCTCTCGCAAACAGTAAGATATACAAACGTTGCTTTCAGTGTGTTAGCCCCAAATATATAGCCACTGAAATATTAATTACCTCGACACGGTCAGCATTCATCAAATCCCAGTAAACGAAACAATATCAACAATACACGATAAAGCAATCCCACACTAATTATGCGAAGACATTCATCACGGCAGTTTTTTGCGAAAATGGATCGCTTTTATAAAACAAGACTACCAGTATAATCATGCTAGATATGTGTGCAAGTTGAAAACAGTAAATTTGCGATACATGGTATTAGGTTGCGTATATGTGAAGAAATGGAGCCTGCATATTCTTACCCCATATGGCCCTCTCTCCCTGTTTGACGGTAATCATACAACTGCTGTTAAAGAAAACATGATCAAACTATTTGCTATTTCTCTTTTTTCTAAACGCTCCCGCAAACAGGTGTCAGTAATTATTTTGCTTATTCAAGGAAGAATGCGACCCTTAATTGAAAACAGTTTTGTAAACGTTTTTCCAATTAGAAAGCTACAAGTCACTAAGTACTCTAATCACAATTGTTCAGTGTAAAATAAAACTTATTCTTTTATTTTTTTATTATTTCTGTTTTCTCGAAAATGTTACAAATATGTTAACACTCCCTAGCAGAGAATACTGACTTCTCGATACCAAGGGCCTGTAGGTGAATTAAATAAATATTCATCCAAACTATATTTTAATCGGTTTTAATTTATCTTGGAAGGAATTTATTTCAATACAAATCTTCATTTTATGAAAATGCGACGATTTTGAGATTTGTCACTTTTCCTGTACACTAATGACAAGTTAGTATTTTGACTATATATTTATTTAAAATAAATTGAGACACGTTATTTTGACGTATAAAATGCTGTATACCGGTTTAAAAGTATTTTCATATTTATAAATTTGAAGTTGTTTTAATTAGAATACAATACATAAAATGGCCAGTATCAGCAGACTGAGAAACTTCGCTTGCTAGAAACGAAGAACGAAAAAAGTCGAACCATGAGTGGTGGACGAACGAACGGACACTTGCAGGTTACCAATTACTAATCTAGGATGTGTTTAAATATGAAGTAAAATACGTATTATTTCTTAATGGTGTGTAGATACCAGTTGATAGTGGGAGTATGTTTGCGCCAAGTTTGATAACGGGAAGTTCTTACACGGAATAGGGAACAGCTATCGACTGCAAAGTGCTGATCGTTGTGCATTTGTACAAAAGTGATGCGAAACTCGATTGCGCGGGTGTAGATCGGTAGTGCTGTCGATTACTGAAACACTTCGCCGTGCAAAAAGCTCCCAAATATGGATCTATCGAAATTCCAGCATGTTGTCGGTACCGGTTCTGACAATCGCATGGATTCAAATAGTGCAGACAGGCGACCTCTCCTTCAAGGAGACCTCACCTACAGAAGTAGTCAAATGAACGATTTGGCTCTTCTTGCTAAGAGGAGTCCATGCTAAGAGGGAATTGTCGGTATCGCTGCCATACAAAGTTGCAATAGCATACATTTAAGGGAGATGTCAAGTTTCTTACTTCGATTCTTTATGATAACTAAATAATTTATGGATTACTACATTTTTCTATATTTGCATTATCCATAACTTGAACATAAATTTAACTACATTTTTCTGTACGGAAGTACTCGTAGTTGGGATATATACTATGTAATCAAAAGTATCCGGACACGTCCAAAACAATGTTATGGTGTGGTCGTGAATTTAATGGAGGGTGCTTGCAGCCTTTTCTTGTTTTGTGTGACTCTATCACGGCACACGCCTACGTTGATGGTTTAAACACCTTCTTGCTTCTCATTGTTGACGAGCAGTTCGGG